AGTTCTAGTGATGTTGCATGCAGCTTGGGATCGTACTGGAACTTTAGAAGGAGAAATAGGCACTTCGGTGTCCTCCAGATATTTTTGACTGCAGCTCCCATAGTTTCTGAGTGGAGCTGATGAGAGTTTAGGATAAAGAGTCTGGAGGCGTTGCCCAGCCTGCTTTGTTAGACCATCATGAAACTCAGGAAGAGACAAAGCTGCCCTGATACTCAACCTGACCTTCCATCCTTTTATCCTCCAGTCAGATTTGCTTCACACCCAAACGCAGGATCACAAGTGTACCTCTTTTTAGAGCAGGAAAGAGAGCCAATCTTTCCATTCGCTCTTCCCAGTTTGGCCAGACTTTGCCTGGCTTTTAACACTCTCTTTCCAAACATCTTACAGGTGACTTTTGTGGGTTCTCTTGAAAGATTGGTAAAATCCAGTCTTTTAAGGTCCTGGTGTCCATGCATCTGGCATACCTGTAACCTCCCTAGTGCCGAGCTGTGAACAGGTAGCTTTTTCTGACAAGAACTCTATGTTATGCGGGTAGGTAAATTACAAGTCCCTTTGGCTGTGAACTAAAATGCCAAATGAACATCTTATTTCTGTGCATATAATTGGAACCTGAACCTTCCTTGCCTCTCTGCTTACATTTTGCTCCTTGAACCATATAATTCTAGTATCAAAGAGGGTCTTATGTTGATGAATTATCAGACTCTTGCTTCTGCTATAGTGAAGAGGATTCTGTTGGGGTTATTCTCTTTCAAATAACTTTTAAACCCATGTCAGACACCTTGTTGTTGTTGGTGTTGTTAGTCGCGAAGTCGTGTCCGACCCATCGCGACCCCATGGACAACATTCCTCCAGGCCTCCCTGTCCTCCACCATCCCCCGGAGTCCACTCAAGCTCACACCAACTGCTTCAGGGACTCCATCCAGCCACCTCATCCTCTGCTGTCCCCTTCTTCTTTTGGCATCTATTGTTCCCAGCATTAGGCTCTTCTCTAGTGACTCCTTCTTTCTCATTAGGTGGCTAGATGGAGTTTCTCTATTTATTTATTTATTTATTTAAAGCATTTCTATGCCATCTGAAGATGAAACATTTGAGTTTCATCTTCAGGATCTGGCCTTCTAAAGAGCAGTCAGGGTTGATCTCCTCTAAGACTGACCGGTTTGATCACTTTGCAGTCCAGGGGACTCACAGGAGTCTCCTTCAGCACCATAGTATGTCCTTAAAACAGGTTGTATGAGGCTTGATTGGGGCAAGTATGCCAGTGATTTCCACAAGAACCAGCTGATCACTGCCTTTTACTGGACTTAAAAAAGAATTCAGCTCTGTCATTGGCTCTGCAAAGTACTTTGTATATTTTTGTTTTTGTAGCAAGCCTGGGCTGATGTTCTCAATTTAATTAAAAATTCTTGAGCAAGAGCTCATCCTGGTATTATCTGTTACCCTTAGCATTGTTTTGTGTGGGGTGGTAGCCAGGACCAAGTGTTCCTATTCTTGAAAAAATATTTGATATTATCGCAGCCATGATGTAGCATCTTGTTGTGGCTGATGTATGTGGAAAGAATATGCACGGACTTAAAGCACACTTGCAGTCACCAGTTTAATGGCAGATGCTTTCTTATTGCATTCCTGGCTTGAGGCAAGCACATTCTGCTTTGGTACATGAGGATGTGCAAAATGTCTTAGGAAAACTGTACTCAAATTTGAAGTATGCGCTATTAAAGTTGTTAGTTACCTTTGGGTAAAGGTTTTGACTTCTGTTGATGGTGTTCAGATGTGCCTGAAGCCACTGAACTTCCCATTAAGGGATGGCTTGAGACAGTAGCAACAAGCTGCATTCTGACTTGCTAGTTTGTTCGGAGAGTCGAAATAGCTGCAGATTTGAAATGGTCTGACAATCTACCTTCCAGCTAATAAATAACCCAGTATCACTGAGCTGGTTTCCTTCTGAGAAGATGGGTACAGATCCAGCCATGTACCCATTCCCTATGCTTATCCGGTGATGCCATGTCAAACTGGCCTAAACTTAAGATGTGAAGGCCCAGAGCAAACTGGAAGAATTGCAGTTTGTTCCCCCCTTGTCCCCTGAACTGTTTCTGTTTAAAAATCTGCAGTTTTGTTTTATGAAATATTTTGTTTTAGAATGATGAATAACATATTTAAGACAAGGTGCTTCTACCCTTTACTCCACCAAATGATTTTTTAAAACTACGTAATAAAGCCTTTATTTAAACAAACAAACAAAAAAGACCCAAGAGATGCAACATTTCTGGATTTTTTTTTTCATTGAAATTATTTGTACTGGAATTTTCATCAAGAAAAAGACACTTAAGAAATAATGAAGCCATATGAGGGATTTTTCTCTATAAGATTCTATATATAGTTTCTCTCTATAAGATTATCAGTATAGTTCTTTCTTGCTTATTAATATTAATGATCTATTGTATTTTTTACTGATAGACATTTAGGGATGCTCCAAAGCCATGTTCAGTTTCCCACTATATCATAATGTGGAAAAAATTCTCATTCTTGACCATTTGAATTTTATTTTGTTAGGTACTGTGTTTTTGGGCCTATTCTAAAGCAGTCTATTAATATAGTGCTAGACTAAAATCCAGTGTGAAAGAAACCCCGCCACTGCTACTAGATAGTACCGAACAGCATGTGGGTTATCCATCTATGTTTAATTTTTTAGGTGAACTTTGAAACTTGTGGCTATCAACTGGTACAGTTCTTTAAAAAAGAAACATTAAACCTCACATCTAGGGAATGCTACCTTGGCTATTAAACCTTATAAGTACTACCACTAGAATAAACCGTTCTTTACCTAAAAGTAACTCAGTACCTTTATCCTGCAGCATAGCCATAGGGCTGATATAACCACTAGAGGCAACTTCTTAATATCAACACGGAATAAGATATTCATTAATAGAAATTGTTTACAAACGTGAATACAGTATCACTCTTCAAACAGGTTCAGCTTGGTTTAAGGTTCTTGAGTTAAATAAACTTGCTTAACATTCCTAGCAGGAGGCAATCTTTCCAAGCCAAATAAATATTCAATAGCTTTTCCTTAGGACCAGCTTTTCCAAAATTCTACTTTACAAACTGAAATAAACTTCCCTAAACTTCCTTACGAAAAGGAACAGATATTCTGTACACTACTCTTCCACTGACTCCAGTTATTTCTGTTGCTTCTGGTTTCTAGAATGATTCGCGTATTTTAGAGACAACTTGCTGCAGCAACCCATAGTCAGATACAAAACAGGAACCTAACATTTGTTACTTATAACTTAGTTTGCTCATAAAAGTATCTCATGTTTGGCATATTAAATTCAAAAGATTAGTTTATCCAGACAATAACTGCAGACTTAATGAGTTTAGGGTTTTTTATTTTAATGATATTTTAAAAGCAATCCAAGTGATGCATAACATAGTTTTTGTTCCTAAAGCAGCCTTCCCAACTTGCTGCCCTTCAGTTGTCTTGGACTATAACATCTTGCATTCCAAAACGTTGGCCATGCTGCCTGAAAGTGATGGGAGTGGAATCCACAACATTTGGAGGACACCAAGTTGGAAAAGGCTGACTTTAGATTGATAAAGGGAGCTTTTAAGAGTTTTGCTTATTTTTCCAAAAATTTCTGGTTCCTTCCCCCCAAAAACAAGCATATACCCCCTTTTTTCCAAATGCTGCTTAAGCTAGCCGTCTCAAGCTAAATGCAGTGCCCTATGTATGTTGGTAGCCTGAATTCACTGGAGCCTCAAGCAATTTTACAATTGGAAGGCTAATGTGAAATATACCATTATTTGTGTTACAGAAACCTCAACATATAGGGCAATATTCTGCCCCATTCCCATCCCATGTTTGTTTGGCAGCACCCTGGTACAGGATGGAACTCCAGTGCTGCAACTCCTGTGCCTCCAAAGTCGAATGAGGATGGCCCACAGGACTGTGTGGCCAGCCGGAGCCTTGAACGGGCTCTTGCTCTGTTTCTTGCTCAGCCAGTCTCCTCTTTTTTAACTTTGATACTCCTGGTTCAGCTACACATTGGACCATTGCTTAATTGAGATTTATACTTCTCATTTGTATGTATTTTCCAATTTGTTTCTGTAGATGTATGAATAGTAAACCCTCCTCTTTCTATAGTATGGTATTGTTGCAAAAGATGATATTGAAGAGCCTTTTCCCTCTGCCAACTTCTATAGGACAGTCTGGTGTGCTGGGACTCTTCCCAGTTTAGCATCTATTTCAGTTTTGTGTGGGAAATGAGGAAAGAAAAACAGGTAGATGAGAAGTGGAGCTATCTGGCAGATACTGCCACTGATTGCAACATTTGATGTTTGCTATTTTTGCCATTACATCCATCCTTTGTGCAAAGCAAGATCTGCTGTCTTAGTATAAGAGGCTGCTTTTCTTTGTCTAGACCGCCTCTCTGCACTTGTGTCTGGAGCCGAAGGAGTTAACTCCGGCTCAATGAGAGCTGTGCTCTCAGCTGCTGCTGTGCTCCAGTGAAGGACCAGTCCAGACACTGGCTGCTGCTGTTGCTGAGAGGAATGGAATCGGTGACTGCAGTAGCTGTAGCATCAGTTGTCTGCCTGTGACCATCAGCGGGAAACAACTAAGAATACATGTAACCAAAAGCCTTTATAGTGCTTGTGCAGTCACAGAGCTGCAGCTACGGACCAGATCCTCGTCCTGCCAACAAGAAGACTGCACTTGTTTAGCATTTTCTTGCCCTCCTCCCTCTTTGAATCAGATTGAGTAATTATGCCAGATGAAGTAGCAGTGAATGATGTAGAGAGATGGGCTTGGAGCCAAAAACAGTGAATCGGACTTTGGAAAAGGATGTTTTCACAGATTTTACAGTGCTTTCACTCTTGTATTGATGAAAATAACTACATTTGCTTTTAAAAAGTTAATTAGGATAGTTCAAGTACTTCTGTATATTCAGGGCTTACAGCACTGGCTAAAAATGTATTTGTATTATTGTATTTGTATTTTGCAGGGGGACTTAGAAAACAAACCAGTAAATGGCTGCAGACCAGAGTTCATGGAATGTGTTGCCCACTGCCATGGTGAAAAACACAAGGTGAAACCAAACCAGTCACTGCTCTGGGAACATGTACAGGCAAATGAAAGGGGAAGTATGACTGGCTTAGAAACAGAAAAGTGGACACAGAACGAGAAACTATTGCTTAATGCCCATGTGAATGGTGACCTCTGTAGAACTGGAACAAAAGATGAGAACTCAACCCATTTTGAAAAAGATGCAAAAGCAGTCTATTCTTCCAATGTGTTATATGAGCCCAAAAAGTTGTTTACCCAAACTGCTAAAAATGGCATTAAAAGCATACCTTACTCACCAGCAGAACATGATGCATCACTGAAAAAAACAGATGTGAGCGTAAGTGCAGATCTGGCGAGCAACTGTAAAGAAAGGAACGCCAGTGCCTCTTGTGCAGGTGCTACTCCATTGAATAACATTAGCTCTTTGACAACTGGAACATGTGCTCTTCCAGAAAAGAAAGATCACCTTTTAGAGCAGCAGACAGAAAGCTCTAAAGCCATTCAGGAAACTGAAAACTCACTTTTGCAAACCATTTCACTTTTAGATCTACAAGACCAGCCATCTTGTGCTCCTGTACTTGAGAAAGATGGCTGCCTTGATGATGGTGCTTCAGATATACCAAGCAAAGATCCTCAAGCTGAAGATTTGTCACTTCAGTCAACTTTTTTATCTCTGATTAAAAACCGAAATTTAACAGTAGAACAAGTTGTAGCTATTGAGGCATTAACGCGTTTGTCAGAACTCCCTTTAGGTGCTCCATCATCAGCCAAAACTGAAGCAGTTCAGTGTACAGAACAACAAACGCCACATTCACTTAACAATCACAAAAAGGATAATTCTTGTTTTTTGACATCATCCACACTGAAAGGTGTTAAAGAGACTTGCCCACAAAAGGACCAGGTGCTCTCTTCTCATGCTTCTTCACAGAGAAGACTTCTTCCTAAGAACTTGCTTTACAATGGTCAAGGTGCTATTTCTGAATTCCCCAGTAAATCCCCAAGTCCATCCAGCTTGTTGCGTAGATTACATTGCACCCCACGAGATACCAAGTCTTTCTCTGCTTTAGTATCTGGCGGAAATTCAGGTCATGCTACTAAGAAATACCCTCTTCATCATAAAACTGCCATTGGGCCTTGTTCCAAAACTTCAAGTACTATCAAACAGCGGAGGAACAGAATAGAGATGCTTGGGAAATGGGAGGGAAAGGCTGTTCGTGGCTTGAATTCAAGAAGTAATTCTATAATTAGGGATGGCATTCACAGCCAGGATGAAGAAGAGGTAGCTGCCCAATTAACTCAACTTGCAGCAATAATTGAATCAAACAAAACAAGCCCAGATCAGAAGACATCATTTCTCAATCGAATACCACCCGATATGCAATCGAAACTTAAACAGGATCAGTGCCTACTGCAGAAGAAACAATCGCTATTTGTAAGGAACAATTATAGCTCCTTGTTAGTCAAGCAAAGGCAACCAACACGGAAAAATGATAAATCAGTACCAAGGGCAAAAAGACTGAAAAAAAAGCCCCAAGTAACTCCTGACCAACAAAACCAATTACAACAAGAATGCCCACATGGTGAATTACAGGACTTGCAGAAAAAGCCTTCGAAACTGCGTAAGCTTGGTCGGATTGTGTCTCAAGATTCCAAACTAAATGCTTTGGGGAAAAAACCTTTGAAAACCAAAGTACAAAAAGCACGGAATCGGAGTACTTTGCCATCGCAACAAAAACCAACTGCATTATTTCTTCCCAAAACTCAAATAATATTCCACAGGCCTTTGCCTGCCTCTGCACAAGACAAAATAAAAGACAAGCTGTTTAGCCATGAAGTAGTGCCAGAGCACATCAAAACTGTGAGCTCCAATGGTGCACCTGGCACCAGTCCTCCCAGTGGTGACCACATTGCTTTGCAACAGAGTAATCTGCTCTCCAATAATCTTCTGATGATTTCTCACTTAGAAGCAAAATCCTGTTTGAACCAAGAAAGTCAAAATATACATATGTTTACAGAAAAAGACAAGAATTCTCAGGTACAGCAAACCATGAATATTGCTCAAGTGCATCCTTTGCCTCAGATCATTAGTGAAGGAACAGATGAAAAGAGCAAGGAAGACCAAGAGAAGTTCCAGGAGGATGCTGTAGATCCACAAAAAACGCAGATTCTGCCAGTGATGCCCATTAACTGTGGTGAAGCCTCTTCAGGGGACACTGTGCAGGCTCTCAGGAATGTGGAGCATACAAGTGAAGTTACATTTCCAGCATCAAGTTTAGGGACTGAAAATCCACAGGGTACAGAGATCTTAGGGTGTTCTCCATCAAGGAATACACTCAGTAGGTTTCTTGAATCTCCTATGAAGTTCCTGGACACCCCTACAAAGAACCTAATTGATACACCTACAAAGAAAGGGCAGAGTGATTTTCCAATCTGTGATTGTGTTGGTAAGTGCCATTTGCTTCATATTTGCATGGTGTTCTGAAACAAATAATTCAAACATTTGCTTTCTCATTAAGGAGCCCTTTGGAAGTTTTATTTTGCAAACCTTGCTTCTTACCTGCACTGAGGTCAGAGTCTCATGAGGTTCCACCCCATAAGTGAAAAGTTGCCTCTGCATCATTCCAGATTTCATGCAGGTGATTGCTTGATTACCCAGATTTCTGTGTCTTTCTTCCCATTAAAGCTCATTTGTAGAAGGGAAATGTCTATATATGCAAAAATTAATAAAGCTGGAAGAATTCCTAGTATCTAAGAATATGATGCTGACCGCTTCCTGTTGGAAATGCCTTTCTAGATATGCACAGTGGGGCAATTGTAACTTGTTTTATATATTTAGTTCAGTATGTTATAGCGCTTGTGACTAAACATCATTAAAAGTAATATAGGACAGACATTTTATCATGGGACTCCTCAGTGCTCTTGTTTGGTTAATTCACAGGACACCAGTGTGTCCTTGGAAAAATGATCTGATAGTGTATGGTATTTACAGATGCATTTAGCTACTTTAGATATCTGAAAGGAAATTATGAATGTTATTAATAAAGAATCCATTCAGTAATTAAGTTCACTCTATTATTTATTTAATGCATTTTTAGAAAGTCAGGATAGATTAACCTCACAGAGCCATTTTCAACAAGCGTTTAAAACATCATGATGGGATATACAAAAGCAACATTAAATATCAAAACATAAGTTCATATAAAATATAATTACTCAGTAAATCAGATAAACTGATCAGTTAGAAATAATGTCAGCAAATAAAAATATTTCAACAGTGGCAGCAGAGAAACTAGTGTTAGAAACACAAATCAGCCAGAAGCTGGATACAAAACATGAAAAACTTAAAGCATGGGTCCTCAAACTACGGCCCGCCATACCCTTTGATCCAGCCCGCCATAGCTCGCCACACGTGAAAGGAGATCGCTTTGGACTCACTCGGAGAGGCATCGGCTTGCTCGCAAGGAGATTGTTTTGGACTCGTTGGGAGAAAATGGACTCTGTGCTTGCATGCCCCTGTCTTTCTGCATGCGCACGCGGGTGCACCCGCCCCCCAGCCTGGCCCATGCCCCCCCCCACCCACACCACCTTGGCGGCCCACACCCATCCCTGGCACCTTTCAACTGGCCCCCTGTTCAAAAAGTTTGAGGACCTCTGCCTTAAAGGATTCTGTAGTATTGTTAAGCCTGCCGTATAACGGTATTCATTTCAGACTATGATCTATCATTCCTATGTTCAGACATTTCTACTATGTATGCGAGTTCTTTCTTCTTTTCAAAGCAAAATAAACAGTCCCAAAAATACTGTAGATCAGGGGTCCCCAACCCCTGGGCCACGGACCGGTACCAGTCCATGGCCTGTTAGGAACTAGACCGCACAGCAGGATGTGAGTGGTGGGCAAGTGAGCAAAGCTTTATCTGTATTTGCAGCCGCTCCTCTGTGCGAGCATCACTGCTTCAGCTCCATCTCAGATCATCGGCCATTAAATTCTCGTAGAAGGTCGAACCCTACCATAAACTGTGCATACAAGGGATCTAGGTTGCATGCTCCTTATGAGAATCTAGTGCCTGAGATGGAGCTGAGGCGGTGATGCTAGCACTGAGGAGTGGCTGCAAATACAGATCATTAGTAGAGAGGTTTGACTGCACAGAGACATAGTAAAGCAATAGCTTGCAGATTCATATCAAAACCCTATCAATGAGTAGCAAGTGACAATTAAGGTGCGTCTAGTTTCAGGAGAACAAGCTCAGGGCTCCCCCTGATTCTGCATTATGGTGAGTTGTATATCATTATATATCACAGTGTAATAATAGAAACAAAGTGTGTAATAAATGTAATGTGCTTGAATCATCCTGAAACAACTCCTCCATCCCCCGGACTGTGGGAAGATTGTCTTCCACGAAACCAATCCCTGGTGCCAAAATGGTTGGGGACCACTGCTGTAGATGATGGCACTGGTGTAGCCTACTCTGGGTCAGAGTTGTGAGTCACACCACGCCTTGACATTTGGCTTCTCTTCTATTAACTATATGAGACATTTAGCTAAGCTCTGGGATTCTGGATGGCAGATCATGGTAACTTTCATAGGATTTGGGTGAGTAAGTGTACTCTGTCCATGAAATAATTTTAACAGCTATTTTTAACCCTTTCTATAGAACAAATTATAGAGAAGGATGAAGGTCCATATTATACACACCTTGGAACAGGACCAAGTGTTGCTGCTGTCAGGGAAATAATGGAGGACAGGTGAGGAAATGAATATCAATGAGTAAAAATATTTATTTAAATGTATCCATGCAGCAAAACAGTGATGCTGACAGTAGTGTTACAAACTTTGTATACTTCTTTTCTTACTGTACTTATCCAGGGCCTCTTTTTCTGGATTATGCTGGGTCCGAACCACAGCATCTGTGTGCGAGCTGAGGCAGCTAGAACGCTGGTTCTCTCTCAAGTACTGAATCTGTCCTAGAAAACGAGCCTCAGTACCCTCGTGTTGACATAAAAAAGCCATGCTGGATCAGACCAAAGGACCAGCTAGTCCAGCATTCAATGCACCTGGTGGCCAAACAGCTGCCCAAAGGAGTGCTCCAGTAGGCTGGGTTCAAGACCTCTGCCTGCCCAAGCTCCTCAGCAACTGGTGTGTGCAGGCGGGCCACCTCTGTGGCCCAGAAGGCCGATAGTTGCTGATAGCCTCCTTCCTCACAAATCTGTCCAGTCCCCATTTAAGCAGCGAATTCCAGTGTAGACATTGGGAGTTGGTCAGGAAGTGAGTAAATGACATTTTTCATAAGGCTCTGGAACTTTAATCTGCTCGTGGTTGATTTTAAGGACTGTATTCAAAACAGATGGACAGACCCAGGAAATGAATAAAGAGCAGGGCAGACGTTGGAAGAATGGGTTAGAGGCCAATTCAAGCTTGAGGGAAGCTCATGTTTCAACTTGATAAGAAAGGTCAAATGGTTTCTTTTGCAAGAGCTGCAAGATGCATGCTTCCTCTTTCACACTCAAGTCATGTATTTGCCATTACCTGTTTTTGGCCACAATTGAAAGCTCATTTAGGCATGCCTAAGGAGTGTGTGTGCCCAGCAGGATTTCTGACTATTTTTCTTTGAATAAGTCCCTTTGAACTGTAGCCACTCATGCCACATCCCAGTATTTCAAAATCCCCCAAGCTACAGAAACAGGCTGTAAAGTGGTGGTGGCAGAGGAGGATTTTTTGGTTTCAGAGTCCAAGTGGGGCTGTTTGCAAAGTACTATTAGTGTCACTGATTAGCACTTCACCTTGTTTTCTTACAGAAGGGCAATGTATGTCTGTGCTGGAACTTCTCCCCTGCATTTATTTCCAAATAATTCTTTTTTACACGGGAAACCTCAAGCCTGGGACCCAAATCTGGCCCTCTTGGGGTCCCAGTCTGGCCCTCCAAAGTTCAATAGATGGTTTCACAAGCCTCCCCTAGCTCACTTTCCCCCTTCCACCAAGTGTTTGCTTGTTTCCTGGCTTTGGTGCTGTATTCTCCCCATTTTAAATGCCTCCCTTAAGACTGCATTACTGGCAGTAAGAACTTCACTTGAAAATATGCTAATATTTTTGGCCATGCTCCTTTTGTGTTTAGCCCCACCCACCTCTGGAATGTATCCCTGGAAAGCTTCTTCAAACTGGAATTCAACCCTTGAGCTAAAAGAGGTCCTTTACCTCTGCAATAAAGAATTGTGCAAGTCAGTGCTTATAACAACTGAGAAACAGGAATGATGATTCAGCATGCCGAGAGGGTACCCCAAGCTTTGCAGATGTACAGAGAATGTGTTTTTTTAGTGAGGGGAACCTCCCCTACCATAAAAACAGAGCAATTTGGTTCAAGTATGTTTAGTAGCCATGGAATGTAAAATGACAGCTGGAAAAGAAAACACAAAGGTGTGTGTGTTGGAATGGCAAGCTGGAACCTTGAAGAGAAGCACTCATTTCAGAAGGCAGAGTGTGTTGCAATCTTACGTAGGTACCACCATTGAGGATCCTTTTGGCAGGTAAAGCATAGTATGCAACAGCACTGGAACTGTTCAGCTGGAGATGAGCTTGTTCTTCAGTGTTATCAGGTCTCTTTCTTTGGTAAGGTTGATCATATTCATAGACTCCTAAGAGGATATGCCATTAATCTAGGGGAACCCCTTGCTCAATCAGAAATAATACAACCGTAGCATCCTCTTACCATTAGGATGTTTCTCCTAATGTTTAGCCCAGAGGAGGTAAACTGCTTATTATTCAGATGTTACTGAACTACAGCTTCCATCATAACCGACAATTTGCCATGTATACTGGAGCTGTTGGGAGATGGAGTCTAGTCCAGGTTTCTCTGCCCCCGTTTTAACTGAAATCCATTTCCCTGTAATTCCACTTATTCTGCCCAGGCACCAGGAAGAATTTCCTCACTATCAGAACAGTACAACAGTGGAACCTATTAACTGGGGTAGTTGTGGGTTCTCCCTCACTGGAGACCTTCAGAAAGTGTTTGGACTGTCAACTGAATGGAATGGTGTAACTCCGTGTCCTGCAACAGCAGGGGGTTGGAACCAATGGCCTTCTGGCCCCCTCCAGCTCTACTGTTTTACGATACTATGATTGTCAGGTGTTGTGATTAATTGAGATGGAGTGGGGTGAGCTTTTTAGTAGACCAAAACAACTCTGTGATTGAGCAGCAGATCTGAAATATTTGAAAATGTATTCTCATCAACTGCAGGTGGAGCTCCACTTATGCATTCTTAGAAGTCGCATTCTCCCTCTTTCAGGTGAGAGTGGCTTCTCTTAATGGTGCCTGCTGCAGTGTGCACACATCACATCACACGCTCTTCTTTAAAAGTATTTGTTTTTATTAATACACAAATGTGGATTTAGCTGGTTGATCTGGTTGATCAGTAGTTACTGGAGGGGGAAATATGAGAATAAAAAGCTAAAATAGGAATTGACTGAAGTATTCTGATGAGAGTAAGGACTACTTGTAAGGAAGAATTCCTTGCATGACCTATGGAAACACACAAGCATTATATAGGGAAGAACTCTATGGTTCATGGAATCATAGAGTTGGAATTTTATTTATTTATTTCATTTTTATGCTTTCCAATAGCCGACATTCTCTGGATGGTTAACAAATGTTGAAAAAAATTAAAATGCATATAAACATACCAATTGTGGAAGTTGGAGATCATCTAGTCCAACCCAGTACTCACTGCAATCTCTACAGTGTAGGCTGTAACTGCAGCGTTCTTCAAAGATGGATGTCCAGCTCTTGCTTAAATGTCTGTACCAAAGGAGAGCCCACCATTACCTAATACAGATTGTTCCACTATCCTAAGAACACTATGAAAAGCCATGATGAATTAGTATTCTTTTCACTCATTGCCCCCCCCCAGCTGCCCTCAAGCGAATTCAAGTGCAGCAGCACTTCCCTGCCCATTTTCCTCCGCAGTGTACTGTCTGATGCCTGAGGTTGCATATAGCTGTCCGGACTAGTAGCCCCTGATAACCTTAACGTCCATGATTTTGTCCAGTCCCCTTGTGGTTTTCACAGCATCTTGTGGAAGTGAATTCCATTGTTATACATAGTATGAAAAATCCCTCTCTTTTTTCTTTCCTGAATTTTCCACAAGTCAGCTTCATGGCATGATCCCAGGTTCTAGTAAGAGAAAGCGGGGAAATCATCAGATGTCACATAGTTCTTGCTGTGAGGAAGTTTCTCCTAACGTTTATCTGTAATCTGCTTCTTGCGGTTCCCCACCCTATTTCTTCTCATGTTGTTCTCCAGATAAATATTGATCAAAGTGGCACAGAAGGGGTTGGGCTCTCAAGAACTAAGGAGGACACTAACGGCTACATCCCCCAAGTTGTGGTGGGCATGAGCTTGAAAGGATCCTGGGCTGCAGAGCAAGGAGCAACTCCCTGAGTGGGTGGGATGAGAAAGGATGGTGTGTTGCACTTGGTAGGGGATTGTGGAGAAAGAAACAATTTCTGAAAATGCTTTCACCATTTACTGCACAATGATAAAAGGTAAATTGTATGCTCTAGGGACAAGTGGGCAGTCATTCCCCTGGAAGGTTTCAGCCTTTCTTGAGGAGGACTTTCTTCCTGCAGCTGGGAGAGTAGGTTGCAGCATTACCCGGAGTCCCTTTTATCTGATGAGATTGTAGTGCTTCCTGTTGGGTCCAGACATGGTGCCTTCCTTCATAGCTGTAGGGAAATTATTGTAAGGCACTCTCTTAGGGGTTTGATGGCTTTTTGAGTTGGTGCAGAATGCTTCCCAGCAGGAATCAATTACTGTGAATGTTCTATCAGTGTGACAGTGGCGTCTTACTACCTTTCAGACATGAGGCATTATTTATTTAATATCCCATTTTTATTATAGCAAATTCAAAGTGTCTTATATAATGTGAGGTAGGTTGAGCTGACAGTCTGTGGCTGGCCCAACACTACCCAGTTGGCTCCATGACCAAGCAGGGACTAGAACCCAGATTGCCTGAATTCCAGATCCATGTTCTTAACCACAACACCACAGTGGCTCTCAGTTGATGCCAGTTTCAACCTCTAAAGCCCTAAACTGCTTGTGCTGCACATGCTTGAGCGATAGTTTCTTCCCTTAAATGCAGGAGCAAGCGACTTGTTTCCCTTCCAATGTTTTGGCTTCCCATCCCAGCAGCCTCACCATTGGCCATGCTGAATAGGACCAGGAGGAGTTGTGGGCCAAAGCATCTGGAGGACTATCCCTGCTTATGTCACATTGTACACTTAAGGTGTTATCTCAGTTTAAAGGGTCAGTGTGTCATGTTATAACATGTTCACTGACTGCCCTATACATCTTACCTCTTCTTCTTTTGGAGGTTCACCGAAGCCTGAACCAGTGAGCTTTCAGAAGTGATACTGAGATTCTCTGTTTGTGCTGATTTGCAGATGTGGATTGATGCAGCTGATATCTGGAATTTTAACACTCTGTCTTTAAAAACAAATCTGTTACTGGTTTTATTTTTATTTGGCTATCTTGCGTGCTGTTGCTTGGGATTGGGTGGGCATTTTCAAAATGATACTGCCTGCAACAATGATATTTCTTCAGGGTCTGAAGGGATTTTAGAGGAGCTTTTTCTGCTTCTATAACTGAATTAACTGTTGCTAACTGAATTAATGACCAGCAAATGTTATGATCTGATTTTTTTCTTATATATTTTCTTCTTTATATAGGTATGGAGCAAAAGGAAGTGCTGTAAGAATAGAGGTAGTGGTGTATACAGGCAGAGAAGGAAAAAGTTCCCAAGGGTGTCCTATTGCCAAGTGGGTGAGTTTTTATTTTAGAGTGATATATCCTTACTTACATACTTGAAATTTATTTGCCTATCACACTAATGATGCTTACACTGCCTGTGAATCCCAAAGGCTCTGTTGTATGGCTAACAATAAAAATTCACAACCACACACACATCTGTTAACCAATAATAAACAAATTAAATTGAATTTGGTGGCAGCATTTACCAAAACAAAAAACAGCAAAAAAGCCTAAAGAAAAACCCAGTGTACTGCCCTCAAAGCATTTTGAGCATGAATAGTCTTGACCTGATGTCAAAATGCTGGAACAGGCTGAAGCCACTTCAGGAGCCGTTCCAAAGCTTTGGTGCCACCATTGAAAAAAGCACCTTTCAGGAAGTTCCATTCTGTGATTCAGAGGGCAAAGGGGCCTGAAGTTAGGGCCTCAGGGACGAATCTTTATAGGTACGAGGTTCATACCAAAGAAAGCAGTTGTTTTGATAACTTGCACAGAAACAATTTAAGGATTTGAATGATTACTTCCAGCACTTTGTTTTGGCCCTAGAAACTAAGAAGGAGACTGATAAACTATTTATAAATCAGCACTGTGTCCTCTTCAGCATTGAACCAGTTGTATTTTTCAGCTTGGATGGCAGAGGTGTTAGACTGCTTCTATCTAGGGAAGGGTGTCATTCACGGACTAACCTATGGTCAATTCCATAGGGAGGTTGTGGGCTCTCTTCCCTGGGCTGGTCATGGGTATTCAAGAGGCATTTGGACAGCATCTGACAGGGATGCTTTAACTTGTCGTCTTACAACTGAGCAGGGCGTTGGAGTCAGTGGCCTTATAGGTCCCTTCCAACTCTACTGTGAGTGTATGGAAAGCTTTCTTGGCCATAATGGATGTTGGTTGTCTAAGAACAGAACCAGGTAAAAGAGCACACCCAAGCTGCAAATCTAAGTCGTTGTGAGGGGTGCAATCTCAATCAAGGTAGGCCGTATACCTATCACAGAATCAGTGATGTTTGCCAGCAGAAGTGGCTACATTCAAACAATTACGCAAACCACAACGTGTAAGATTATGAATGAGCTACTTTCTAAACCACCCCCTCATCATCTTGTATATGGGACTTAATTCATTCCTTGCCATTTTACTCAGGGTATTGTTTTCTGTAATGCCTGACTCAGCCAATTATGGTTTGAGCTATCATCTAGGCTTGTAAGAAGGAATTCATGAATTGAGCCTTTAGTGGGAGGAGGAAGTAGGGAACGTAGGAGCTGTCCCCTCCAATTCTTATTAATGACTTACTCTGAAGATTTTCTATGCCAGCAAATGAGTCCTTAGGATGGGGTGTTCCAACTGCTATATCAGCATAAAGTCATCTTCAGCAGCGCTTCTCAAGGAGCCCCTGCCGAAAGAAGTAAGATGGGTGGCTACTAAGAGGAGGTGCTTTTTCTTTTGTGGTTCCCAGATTGTGGAATGTGTTTCCCAGAGAGGCTCCCTGGTGCCCACATTGTGCTCTTCTCAGCATGAGTCAGACTTGATTCTCCCAGGCATTTCAGATTTTCAGTTTCTGTTGTTTTAAATCTGTTACTCTGTGTTAAATCTTTGTATTGCTGCTAGATTGTGTGTGGTTATTATGTTTATTTTATACTCTCATTTCCAACATTCAAGCTTTTAGAATTACATTTTATCATGTTATATTTTATGGCTTTAATGGTTATTAACTGCTCAGAGAGTTTCACCTATTGAGTGGCCCAGAAATCTAATGCCTGCCTGTCTGTCTGTAGTCCTGGACTAAGATACAGTGCTGCTTTCCTCATCAGTGTATTTGCGGGTACCAGTCTTGACTGTGTTGTTGTTTTTGTGAATGTCTATGAACAAGGCCCTTTCAAACAGCACAGGAACCATTTGTGGCATCACTTGCTAAATGCCTCAAATTGATTTCTATACAATGAGCTGAGTCTGCAAATAGGATATAAATTTGTTGTCCTTACTGATAACCACTTGATGTCACAGCTGTTGGAATGAGTCATTTTGCAGTGATTTGCCTTTGTTTTTATGTGAAATGATAATTCACTTTTGGAATGGAGGCACTCTAAAATGAAAACTACTGGTCTCGCTACTTTTCCCATGCTTGCTTGCCTGTGTAAACATTATTCATAGAATATTAATTTCTTGATAAACTTACCAGTTTTTCTGTACGTGGAAAATGAAAAGCAAATTCAGGTTTGTTCACTTGAACTAGTTATTTTATCAAGTCATTTTAGTATACAAATAAGCATTTTTAGTTAAGCCCTATTTGCTCTGAGTGTTATCTTGCATTTCAGATACCTATAAGAGTATTTGTCTCCTGTTATTCTCTCTCACTGTTTTTAGTTCACTGGCGTTAGCAGAGGTTTGCAGTCAGGACAAATAGCATGGTGAAAAAAAGTTCCTTTGGAGCAGAGCTATCTGTAGGCTGGCAAATGCTACGTTCCATTTTCTGTGTCACAGAAACCCCACATGAGTCATACCTACTTACAATTTACTGACAGACTGCAGACTTGTAGTAGGGACATAATTTAATCCTGTAAGAAATAATGGCAACTTGTATGTTTTGTCCTTGGAATAAACAATGTGGAAAATTCAATTTCTAAGATACTTGGGTTTTGTTTTTTTTTTTAAAGCATGCCTTTTGTTCTTGGAAAAAACATTGAGGACAATTCCTTTTTTAAGATACTTGCTTTTTGCTTCGTTTTTTGAAAAAAGCTTGCATTTTATCATGGCGTAAGAGTTATATCTCTGTTTATTTCTTGTATGCATAAGCTTCGGTTCCTAGCTCTGCTATGAGCTTCAGGGCTTGCTAATGTTGAGTGTGCTCCAGAGTTGTTCTACATCTATGCCTGCCTGACCAAGGATTTGGTGTCAGTTGCTCTAGAGTGACTTTTAAACCAAGAGGTTACCCACAAATGTGCATGTTCTTTCCTTGCCTAGGTCTAGGCTCAGAGGACTTGCCTCCACCCGCTGCTTGCATGGCAGCAACAAGGGCTGGAATAAAATTGACAGAGAACTATACCCTTCTGATAAATGGAGTTATCAACAGTTTAGCAAGGGAGCCAGTGCACGCTAGTGGTCTGGCTTAGCATACTGTTTTGCCATCCATCAGCCCATTGCTTGTAATGGTAGCAGATGGTTTCAGTGCTTCTGCAGAAAGTGCCTTTCTTTATCTAACCTTCAATTTTCGTATGATATAAGATATTTTTCGTAAATTAGGTTTCATGTTTCCATGTATATGTAACATGGCACAAATGTGAAAAACTTCTGTCTGCTCAGTGTTGTTGATGCTGTCATTGTGCAACATGGGAATTCTTCCTGGCTGCAGGATGAGACTGGTTTCTCATTTCTTTCTTTTTAATTCTGCTAAAGTCCATGAAGGAATTGAGAGAGCAAGCCATTTTAAACTCTTGGACTTGTCGAATTTCCAGTGTCCACACTTAGGGGCCCTGCACTGTGGCCTATTTAATATGGCCAGGGAATGGAAGAACTGTTCTGTCTCTTTCAGCTGCTCCTCGACTTTGCATTTCCTATGGGGACAATCAAATCCAGCAAATCTGTTTTGTTGGTGGTGGTGGCTTAGCTTCTCCCCACTTCTACTTCTTAAGGCAAGAGATGGTTGTGGCTGCAGGAATTGGCTTTGCATAATTAATACAAAAAGATTGCTTTGCATTAAATTATGCAGAAATCTAATTGATGCTACCTTTGTTGGAAATTAGCTGTGATACAGGGTAAAGCAGACCACTAAACCCCAGAAGTGTATAATTTAACCTACAGTATTGCTCCTATTCTTTTGTCCTGAGTTATTATGCAGAGACTTTGTTCAGGAAACATGACAACCGACATGGATGTAGTATTGTCCAAATCCAGTCCCCTTCACCCATAATGGGTTCTTTTCCCCAAAATTAGCCATGCTGAGAAACCATGGGCTGTTCTAGAGTTTGTTTTACACACAGTAGATTGTTGAGACTTCTGAACCAGATGCCCATCCAACTATGGATAGATCCAAACAGTGAGCAAAGTGCAACTCAAGCAGCAAAAACATCTTGCCAGTCTTCCTTGTGCCATCACCAGGGACAGCTCCTTCAAAATGCTGAAGCAAGACATTTGAGGACTTGTGACTAGTTGGCCACCCCAGTTTAAACAACGTTGTGCCCCAAATGTGGGCAATTTATTTTGGTATGTTTCAAAAACATTTAAAGCCAGACTTGTGCCAAGTAGAGAGGTGCATATTTATGAGGATCTGAAAAAGGGAACCCAGTCCGAGCAGTGTCCTAGAGGTGAAGTGCGGCGGCTATCAGTGTTGGACATCAACCTACAAAGGGTCCAAATGCATTCTCCCCCTTTGCTTTCCCTTGACATGACAAAATCCGCATGGTGATTTGTTCATGGGGGGGGGGCGGGAATCCCCATGTTTGGTTTTGTGTTTTTTATGAGTTCTCAGGTAATGCACATTTTTAATGTTTTGCTGAGGCTTTACTTACTTGGGAAAGTACCCAAGTGCATCCCATCCCCTTTTTCTGGAGAGAAAAGAGTTTGTCAGAACTCCAGGTGCCCTGTAAAAGGGCTTTTTGACAGGATAATAGGGCATATCACTTGCCTAGTGCAGAGGTTTTTTCCTCCTCCTCCTCCTCCTCCTGAACAGGGAGTGGCCAACCAGTGACAGCGCTTCCAGTGTGCTGTCAATGGCTGTCAAATTGGAGATCATGAAAGGCATTCTCTGCAAAATGGTGGGAGAAGGTTTGAATGGAAAAGACGTGTTGAGCTGAAGAAAGCAGGGAAAGGAAGACAAGTTGGTCTGTGGGATACAGGCTGGAGAACCGGGGCGGGGGCGGGGGGAGAGAAAAGCCCAATCATTAGACAGGCACACCATGGATTGTTCTCAGAACAACCAGCTTACTGCCAGGGCAGATTGGCATGATGTACAAATTCATCCAATGTAAAAGTGTAAATAAAGGGAAGGAAATGTGCATTCATTTTGCTGAAGGAAGACTCTT